AAAAAAAAGACCGAAAGGGAGATTGAGAGAGGGGGAGAGAGAGAGAGACATCGCACAGGAGAGGTGAGGGTGTAGAGGCACTGCAAAGGAAAGTGCAGTCATCTGAAGTGCAGCGTGGAGTTCTTATGTCCCCCAGGGCCAAAGGGATGGGAGGAGGAAGCAAGTCTCAGAAATCAAAAGGGACGTCGCATAGCAGAGACTACCAGCTGTGCCTTTCATTTGAGGGCATGACCAGCCTAAGGAGACCTCTTATGGGGAGGGAGCCAGTAGAACAAATACTTCCTCCTTCCCATCTCCTACTAGGGCCCCCCATTGGCAGGATCTGACTGGAGGCCAGAGGGCATGGGAGCCCTGTCGATCTAGTTTAACTGCCTCCCAGGGCAAAGGACAAGATGGAGAAAAGTGAGGGTGACCCTCAGGAGCCAGAGGATGATATCCAGCACTCCAATGAAATGAGTCCTATTGTCAGAGTTCTCTGTTAGAAAACCTGTTTCTGCCAGGCAACAAGGATTGGAGAGCTGACACTTTATTTGGGAAGTGCAAGTCCAGGATGGTAAAGATGAGGAAATAGGGGAAATGAGACAAGGAAAAACTGGGAAGCCAAGATGGTGTGATGATGGGATGTGTTACTGTGCCGACCACCACGCCACAGGTGACTGTGAAGAGGCTCAGCAGGTCTGTGGGCAGGGATGTTGGATCAGCAGATGGAACCACTCCATGGAGAAGTTCTCTTCAGGGAGAAACTAATCTTAAAGAAGTCCCAACCGGGCGTGGTGGCTCATGCCTATAATCTTAGCACTTTGGGAGGGTGAGGTGGGAGGATCACTTGAGCTCAGGAGTTCCAGACAAGCCTGGGCAACATGATGAGACCCCATCTCTACAAAAAGAACAAAAATTAGTCTTGAGTGGCGGCACGTGCCTGTAGTCCCAGCTACTCCGCGGGCTGAGGGAGAGGATAGATTGAGCCTGGGAGGTTGAGGCTGCAGGGAGCCATGATCACACCATTGCACCACCGTCTAGGCAACAGAGCAAGACCTCGTCTCAAAACCTAAAAACAAACAAACAAAACAAAACCAAGAAAATTTTTAAAAACCAAAAAAGTCCCCCCCCCCACAGGGAAATTAAAGGGAGAGAAGGAATTTGGCATAAAACCTCAGATTTTTTGAAACCCATGATTTCAACTAGTTTAACAAAAATACTTTTCGCTAATGACCATTGTTCTCCTCAGAGGCTTTCAAATAATTTATTACAAAGAAGCATTAAAATATCGGTTTGGTACAGCCTTTATATTACATTTTGAAAATAACTTTGTTGAGTCGTTGAGTTGGCTAGATCCCACCTCCACCCCCTGCAAAATAAGAGAGATAGTATTTTTAAATGAAAAGTAAATGATTGAAACTGATGTTTATATTTCCTGTGTTGTTTAATACACAAGTGTGTATGTGTATACAAATATAATCCTATTTATTAATATTTTCTAACCTCAAGTTATACAAAGAATGTGCAATGTCATAAGATCAAATGGTCTGTATGATAACATTCTTTGTAATTTGTTGTTCAAATATTCTATGTTCTTTCTATTTTCCCCTGATACTAGAAAACATGTAGATTGGTGTCTTCAAACCTCTCAATATAAAAAGGCAGTTTTCCATTTTTTAAAAAAGTTCTGGCTCATTTTTTTCCTTTGTGTAACGTTGTTATACTTTTTAGTTTGTTATGTAAACTTGTAAAACTTACGTAATTGTAAGTTTAAAGTTGTAATTTCTTTCTAACAAATGGCTTCTTATATTATTATGTAGGCCTTCTTTTTATCCCTATTTAATGCTTTTAGCCTTAAATTCTGTTTTGCCTGAAAAATACCACTTTTTATTATTTACGTGACATCTCTTGTTCTTTTATATTCAGTATACTGAACATACTACAATATTTAAATGTGTCTCTTAAAAGCAGTAGCATATAGCTGAATTTTTAAAAATGCAGTCTGATAATCTGTCTTTTAGTAGATACATTTAATTCTTTTACTTACTGGGATTAAATATTTGAACTGATTTCTTATTTTGTGTTTCTGTTTATCATGCTTTTCTTTGCCTTTTTTCTCTTTCAGAGTTTCGGTTTACTTCTTTGTTTTTTCTACCGATCTTTAAGATGTTGTAACTTAAACATTTTTAAAAAAAAACAAGAAAACTTAAACATTGCCTCAAAATTTATAAGCTAACATACATTTTTGTGGGAAAATAATACAAGTATAAAATTTTAAGTTTCTTCCTTTTTTTTTTTTTGAGACTGCTTAATATGCAATCTGAACAAATGTCTCTTCTTAAAGATCTGGACATTTCATGGCTATTACTTCTTCACATGCTCTCTGCAAAGCCTCCATTCCCTTCTGCTAGAACTCTTATTAGATGTAGATTGAAGCCTCTAAAAAGCCCTTGGTCTTTCTGTGCTCTATTTCTAGCTGAATTCCTTAGTCCTTTCATTATCTCTTTCCTCTCAAAATATGTTGTACATACAGAAAAGCATAATTATTATTGTATATATATTTTATATAAAAGTTCATCCTTGTAACAAATCACCCAGCACAAGAAATTGGTCACTGACAGCACCTAGAGGCTACTCTCCTTCCAGAGGCAACCACCATCCTGTCCTATGTGATGGTTAAAAAAAGACAAAATGTTACTGCCTGTATTTACATCTCTAATCAATGTAGTTTAGTTTTGCCTGTGTTTAAACTTTATATAACTGGAAGTACAGCCTATGTATTTTTTGTGACTTACTTCCTTTACTCAAGATTGCTTCAGTGTCATCCACAGACCACAGTACTCTGTTCATTTTTATTGATGTATATATTTCATTGAATAAATGCACCAATCTGTGAATTCTATTGATAATAGACATTCCTTTTTGATATTAAAATATATTTTGTTTTAATAGAGACAGGGTCTCCTTATGTTGCCCAGGCTGGTCTCAAACTCCTGGGCTCAAGGGATCCTCCTACCTTGGCCTCCCAAAATGCTAGGATTACAGGCATGAGCCACCGTACCAGGGAGATAATAGATATCCCCTTTTAAACATTAAAAAATAATTTTTTTTTTTTTTTTGAGACGGAATTTCACTCTTGTTACCCAGGCTGGAGTGCAATGGCGCAATCTCGGCTCACCGCAACCTCCGCCTCCTGGGTTCGGGCAATTCTCCTGCCTCAACCTCCTCAGTAGCTGGGATTACAGGCACGCGCTACCATGCCCAGCTAATGTTTTTATATTTTTAGTAGAGACGGGGTTTCACCATGTTGACCAGGATGGTCTCGATCTCTTGACCTCGTGATCCACCTGCCTCGGCCTCCCAAAGTGCTGGGATTACAGGCTTGGGCCACCGCGCCCGGCTAAAAAATAATTTTTTAAAGAAGAGGTCTTAAGCTGGGTGTGGTTGCTTGTAATCCCAGCACTTTGCGAGGCCAAGGTGGGTGGATCACTTGAGGCCAGGCATTCAAGACCAGCCTGGCCAACATGGCAAAACACTATCTCTATTAAAAATACAACAAATTAGCTGGGCGCATACCTGTCATCCCAGCTACTCAAGAGACATGAGAATCGCTTGAGCCTGGGAGGCAGAGATTGGAGAGAGCTGAGATCACACCATTCACTCCAGCCTGGGGAACAGGAAAAAAAAAAAAAAAAGATGGGATCTTGCTCTGTTGCTCAGGCATGGGTGCAGTGGTGTGATCATAGCTCACTGCAGCCTCGAACTCCCAGGCTCAAGTGATCCTCCCACCTCAGCTTCCTGAGTAGCTAGGACTATTGGTGCATGCCACAATGCCCAGTCAATTTTTAAATTTTTTAGTAGAGACAGGGTCTTGCTTTGCTGCCCAGGCAGTCTCAGACTCCTGGGTTTAAACGATCCTCCCATCTTAGGCTCCCAAAGAGTTGGGATTATAGGCATGAGCTTTCATGCTCAGACAATAATAGACATTCTTTATTAATTTGGGGCTATATGAACCAATACCACTATGAATATTTTTGTACATGTCTATTGGCTTCCAGATGCAGGAATTTCTTTTCTTTTCTTTTCTTTTCTTTTTTTTTTAGAAGCA